AATAGATTTGGTTTTTTGGGTTAGCCCTGATGACATGACGACTCTCCAGAACGAACTATCTTGAGGGCACCTGTGGTGGTTAAGTTTGTGTGTCAACTTGGCTGGGCCTGGTTGAGTGGCTGGGCAGCTGGATGTAGTATTTTCCATGATGAGACTGGTAATCAGCTTCATGGTAAATCTACTGGGAGCAGCTGAGTAGCTGCCTTAAGGATGTGGTCTGCTTCTTGTTTATAAGGAGAAGCCTTGGGGATAGTCTCTAGCTTATGATACTCTTGAACCCTGCGTGTAGCTGTGTCCTTGTTTGCAGCCTGTCACGCTCTGCCGATCTTGGGATTTACAATGGACTTGAATTAATGGCGTGCTATGTGGTACACTGGGACTATGCCTTTTTACTTGTCAACCTTGGGCTTTTCAGCCTCAGCAGCCAGCAGCTGACTGAGGAAAAGCCTCCAGCTTCAGTGGGTCCGGAGCATGAGGCAGAGCTGAAGCCCAATGTTGAGGGGCTGTCACTCAGCCCCTAGAGCCTGGCACTTTGAATTCGGACTTAAAGCCTCCAAACTGTAAGAGAATAAACATGTTTGTTCAAGCATCTCATTTGTAGTATAGTCTTGTCAGAGTGGCACTAGGTAACCAGAACAGCACCCAACTACTGGACTTTTCAGTTATGTGAGCCAATACATCTGTTTTATATTTAAGTCAGTCTGAGTGGCAACCAGACAAATTCTAACTGATACAAGTGGATCACTGAGATGCAGTCCCTTGGGCTGTTGGTGGGTTTTATAGATGTACAAGAGAAGCCTGAGTGGTGTAAGTTTGCAACTAACCCAAAGGTGGGCAGTTCAAACCTACCCAGTGGCTCCTGCGAAGAAAGGACCAGTAACGGTTTCTATAAGCTTACAGCCAAGAAAACCCTATGGAGCAGTTCTACTCTATAACTCAGGGGGTTGCCATGAGTTGACAGGCGACTCAATGGCAACTAACAATAGCAACATAGATTGACAACACTCTGATCTTTGGTAACTCACACCAGCCACATGCTGTGGTAAAGACTGGGATATTTCCCATGGGTCACACGATTCGTGATCTTTGAGATACGAGGCTGGAGCGGGGGAGTCGTATACATAGTCTGTATGTATAATTAAATTCTGTCCTTTTTCGTTTTAAAAAAATATGTAAGTAACAGAACATTGGCCACGCCAACATTCTTTATATATAAAATTCAGTGACATTAACCGTTCATGACTGCATTATTTTCTATGTTGAATTTTTGTTGCTACAATGTATTTTCAATAATGGAAGACATGCTGGAGTCAAGCAGAGAAAAAATTTTTTTAAGCTAATATGGATTTTGATACAATTATGTGAGGCACACATGTCCCAAGTGACTCTGATGGTAGGACTGGTGGAGTGACAGGCCATTTCTTCAGATCCACGAAGTTACACAGATCCCCACCAGGCCGTAGCATGTACTACAACTGGGATAGCAGCTTCTCAGGAAATCTGAGAGGCTGCAAATGTTGGCAGACGATGTATGTTCCACATGTCATGGAAGGGTTAACTTAATGTTCATCCCCTAGTTCGGACTGCCCCTGTAAAAGGCCTTACATTCCTGGCTTTCTTCTGTTCCTGACTCCTCCTCCTCCTAGTTCCCTCTCGAATTTCTTTGGTAGCTGCTGCTCTGGAGATAATCCTGAGCAAAAACTCCCAGAAAATCTTCCCTGAGAAATCCTTCAGCCCTATTCTTGGCCAATTCACTGAGCCTCTCACACTTCTGGAGGTTAAATCAAGCCTTAAATCTTAAAATCCTTAAATCTTGCCTGAGAGGAGCTAGATCTCCAGGCCAGTGATTTTATTTTTAACCACACCTGAGTACCTTGTGACCTGCCCTCCAAACCTGGAACACCTAAGCTCACAGGGACACTCTCAAGGGGGAGGACACAAACCCTGGCAGAGGCAGCAGCCCTGGCTTCAGTCAGTTTCAACTTCTGACCCTCAGAGTTGTTTTCTTCTTTGTCTGCAACGTCCAGCTGCACTTTCTCTGGCATGTGGCTGAGACTGTTTGCCATCCCTGAGGCTGCCAAACCTGAACCCTCAACTCCTCAGACTTCTCCACCCCAGACCCTTTCCAGTCCAAGCTATCCTACTTCACACACCACAATCTGAAAGGTGCTTCCCGGAGGCCATCTTCACCCTATTCCTGCTCAAGGGCCCCACACCCCCTCAGCATCTGGCAAAGTGGAGCTGGGTCCTTAGCCTGGACTTCAAGGCCCTCACAAAGGCCTGTCCACACCCCAGTCCACTCTGCTCCTTCTCATTTTTGACTACTCCCCAGCACAGACCCATGGTAGGCCTACGGTTCACCAGCCCAGAGCAAGGCCTGTCTCCTCCTATACATCACTGACAGCTGAATGTCCCTGTGGGGGCCGGCTGCCTGGCCAACTGACCTAAAAGCTCCCCATCTCCAACCTTGGACTGGCTTCACCCCTCAGGGCAGTCTGGACCTCCTCCTAAAATGAGCTGTTTATTGATTTATTTACTCCTTTGCTTTCCATTTTCCTCAGGAGTGCGTAAGCCCCATGAGGGCAGGGACCTCATCTCACTGAATCCCAGCTCTTGCAAAAATCCTTAATGCATAAAAAAAGAACAAAACAACCAAACCCACTGCCATGGAGTTGATTCTGACTCGTGAGGACCCGTGTGTTACAGAGCGGAGCCCACAGAGTTGTCTCGGCTGTGGTCTTCACGGAAGCACGTGGGCAGGCCACTCTTCCCAGCACTGCTGCTCCTGCTGGCAGGTGCCACCGAGTCAGCTCTGACTCAGCAACCCTGTGTATAAGAGAACGACACACCGTCTGGTCCTTCGCCAACCTCACAATATTACCACACCTGAGCCCATCGTTGCAGCCACTGTGTCAATTCATCTCATTGAGGGCCTTCCCCTTTTTCGTTGACTCTCCACTTTACCAAGCATGATATCCTTCTCCAGGGACTGGGTCCTTCTGACAACCTGACCAAAGCAGGCAAGACGAAGTTTGGCCATGCTGGGTGGCTTCAAATGCCACCTTTTGGTTAGTAGCTAGGAGCAAGCCACTTGCACTACCCAGGGACCTTGCTTGGGGCAGAGACACCTTAATATTTATTAATTAGGAAGACAGATCCCTCAAACCCCTTTGGTCTCTTTCCTAAAACTTCTCTAGTTTACCTACTCTTTGGTCCATGTTGGGTTTTCCACTCTCTGTCCCTTGATAGTGGGCTATCCACTCATACCTGTTCCATTTCAGGGTTCCACTGAATAAAAACCTTTCTTGCTGGAAATATATATATAAACACACACACACACACACACACACATATGTATGTATATAGGAGCTCTGGTAGCATAGTGCCTAAGACACTTGACTGCTCACCAGAAGGCTGGCAGTTCAAACCCACCAGCCACTCCTCAGAAGGAAGGTTGGGCAATCTACTTCCATAGCGATACCACCTCAGAAACCCAAGGAGGGGTTGCTATGAGTCGGGTCAGACTCGACAGCCATAACAACAACAATATATGTATATACATATATATATGTATGTGTGTGTCTATATGTATGTATATATATGTATCACAAATGTCTTTTTTAATGTGTGTATGATTTAAGCTTTCACTTCTTGAAAAGTGGTATCTTTTTCCCCTTAAGGAGAAATTTACCTGGCAAATTGTTAAGAAGCCTCCATAATCCTCCTGTTCTGATTACCTAGAGCCTCTCTGACAAGAATATACCACAAATGGGATGGCCTTAACAAATGTGAGTTTATTCTCTTACAGTTTGGAGGCTTTAAGTCCAAGTTCAAAGTGCCAGGTTCTAGGGGCTGGGTGAAAGCCCCTCAGCCTTGGGCTTCAGCTCTGCCTCCTGCTCCCGGCCCACTGAAGCTAGAGGCTTTTCTTCACTTGGACAGCTGCTGGCTGCTAAGGCTGCTAAGCCCAAGGTTGACAAGTAAAAAGGCACAGACCTGATGTTACCAAACCACACGGCAGCCATTAATTCAAGTCCATTGTAAGTCCCCAGGTCGGCAGAGCATGACAGGCTGCTGAACAATGACATGGCTACGTGCTGAGCCCAAACGTGCCATAAGCTAGAGACCATTCCCAAGGCTTCTCCTTATATACAGGAAGCAGACCACATCCCAAAGGCAGCAACTCAGCTGCTTGTGGTAGATCCCACCATGGAGCTGATTGCCAGTCTCATCATGGGGAATAACTACCACCAGCTTCCCAGCCACCACTCAACCAGGCCCAGCCAAGTTGACATACAATTAACTACCACACCTCCTTAAATTTCCTTTGGGAGAAGTCTGTGGTTGCCAGTATCATCACAGAACTAAACAGGGATTACATAATATTTAAGGAGCTCTGGTGGCATAGTGCCTAAGGCATGTGACTGCTAACTGGAACGCTGGAGGTTCAAACCTACCAGCCACACCTAACAAGGAAGGTTGAACGATCTACTTCTGTAATGATACCACCTTGGAAACCCAAGGAGGGGTTGCTATGAGATCCGACTCAAGAACAGTGGGTTTGGTTTTGGTTTGGTTATATAACATCTAAGGAGCTCTGGTGGTGCAGTGGTTAAGGCATTCAGCTGCTAACCCATAGGTCAGAAGTTCCAATCCACCAGATGCTCTTCAGGAGAAAGATGAGACAATCTGCTTCTGTTAAGATTGACAGCCTTGGAAACCCTAAGGGACAGTTACACTGTGTCGCACAAGGTCACTTCCAGTCAGAAGCAACTCAGTGGCTTGGGTTTGCTTTCTGTAACATCTGGAAGCTCTTACTAAGACAGATCCCTCCTCTTTCAACCTTTGTCTCTAGGTCGAGTTTCCCGTCGCACTTCGCACGAGGGCGAAAAACCGAGCTAGGTTCCCCTCTCTTTCACTTTTTGTCCAAAGTCTTCCCCGTGCCCAGCTTCTCTTCCCTGGGCTCGCCTCCATCCCGGGTCGCGATGCTCCCGCCCGGGTACCTGGAGCTGGTGCAAATGCAGCACGTAGCCTCGCATCAACAGCTGGAACAAGTAGCGCAGCTGCCCGGGCCCTGGAAGCTTCTCGGGGCTCCGCAGCTGCCGGTCGCTAGGCCCGGTTCCGGGAGCGGCAGCTGTCTCAGCCTCGGGGAGAGAGGCGGGGAGCGTGGCTTTGGCCCTGGCCCCCACTGCGCGGAGGCCGAGGCCCAGCACCCGCGTCCCCAGCATAGCCGAGCGCAGCCTGGTGCAGCCGAGCGCAGCCATGGACCTTGCTCGCTCCGCAGCGCCTGTAGATTCAGAGTGGGACACGCCTGGACCAGCCCCGGAAACAAAGCAGGCGGGGCGGGGTCAAGGGCAGTTTGGCCTGGGGTGCAGGCATGGGGCGGCCGCGCGCAGTCCGAGTGGACCCTTCCCGCTCACTTTTCCTCGAGGTCTTCCCTCCTTCCATAGCAGGACCCCTTCTCCAGAGGTCAATCGCCGGCCCGGGAAAGGAGCCAGGCTACTCAAAGGTGGACGACGGACAGGGTGACTAAGGAGACCCATAGCACTCTGACGAGGTCAACCTTGCCGCCGCCTCCCCATCTGGCGCTCCTGCTAACTCCCAAAGAACTCTGCTTAGTCCAGGCAGGGAGTGCAGTGATGTCCTGGGAAGCAGGGGCGGCTTCCAGGGCCGGGAAAGCTCACTCAGAGACAAACGCCCGCCCGCCTAGCCATTTGCCAACCCAAAGCGCCATCGCCCCAGTGGCCCTCACTTCCTCGGAAGGACTGGGAAGGGCTGAGGCTAAGCTGACCTCAGACTTTTCTTAAGGGCTTTTCAGATTGATCCTGGAGGGCTGAGCTAGGAAAGAACAAAGAGTGCATAGTGGCCAAAGTCATCTGATCCCTGGAGTGTGGAATCCATCCAAGTAACCAAGCAAACAACTTAAAGATGAGAGTTTAAAAAAAAAAAAAAAATTCTTCCCACCCTCCCCAAGACCACTAAACCAAACTCACTGCTATGAGTCCATTCTGACTCATGTTGTTGTTGTTATGTGCCATTGAGTTGGGCCAACTCATAGCAACCCCTCCTTGGGTTTCCCAGGCAGTTATCACTACGGAAGTAGATTGCCCAACCTTCCTTCTGAGGAGTGGCTGAACCGCCAGCCTTCTGGTTAGCAGTCAAGTGTCTTAGGCACTACACTACCAGAGCTCCTTTCTGACTCATAGTGACCCCTTTTAGGCTGTAATCTTTATTTGCCTTTCTCCTCAGAGCGGCTGGTAGGTTCAAGCCATTGACTTTTTGGTTAGCAGCCAAATGCTTTCACCACTGCACCAGCAGAGCTCCTTCTTGTCTTGAGGCAAGATTTAGTGAGTTGTAAGAAAAAGATCTACTTTAAAATGGGAGAGAATAAAATAGTACAGAAAACATTGCAAGAAGACTAAGTATTGTCTGATAAAATCTTTTATCTATATGTATGTATTCAAAGTGAATTTTCGAAGAATAAAAACATGGCTCATACAACTATAAAATAAGCACGTTGTTGTTAGTTGCCATCAAGTCAGCCCTCTTAGAGACCCTATGTGCAACAGAACAAAACATTTCTCCGTCCTATGCCAGCCCCACAATCCTTGCTATACCTGAGTGCATCATTGCAGCCACTTTGTCAATCCATCTCATTGAGGGCCTTCCACTTTTTCGCTGACCGTCCACTTTACCAAGCATGATATCCTTCTCCAGGGAATGGTCCCTTCTGACAATACGACCAAAGTAAATGAGGCGAAGTCTGGCCATTCTTTCTGGTTTCCAAGGAGCATTCTGGCTACACTTCTTCCAGGACAGATTTGTTAGTTTTTTTGGCAGTCCATGGTATTTTCAGTCTTTGCCAACACCACAAATCAAAAGCATCAACTCTTCTTCGGTCTTTCTTATTCATTGTCCAGCTCTCACAGCATATGAGGTGATTGAAAATACTATGGCTTGGATTAGGTGCACCTTAATCTTCAAAGAAACATCTCTGCTTTTCAGCACTTTAAAAAGGCCTTTTGTAGCACATTTGTCCAGTGCAATATGTAATCTGATTTCTTGATTGCTGCTTCCATTGCTGTTGATTGTGGAAACAAGTAATATGAAATCTTTGACAACTTCAATCTTCTCTCCATTTATTGTGATGTTTCTTATTGGTCCAGTTGTGAATATTTTCATTTTCTCTATGGTGAGATGTAATCCATACTGCAGACTATAATCTTTAATCTTCATCAGTGCTTCAAGTCATCTTCACTTTCAGCAAGCAAAGTTGTGTTGTCTGCATATTGTAGATTGTTCATGAGCCTTCCTCCAATCCTGATGCCATGCTCTTCTTCATATAGTCCAGCTTCTTGGATTATTTGATCAGCATACAGATTGAATAAGTATGGTGAAAGAATACAATCCTAACTCACTCCCGTCCTGATTTGAAACCATACAGTATCCCTTTGTTCTGTTCAAACAGCCTCTTGGTCTACATACAGGTTCCTGATGAGCACAATCAAGTGTTCTGGAACTCCCATTCTTCTCGATGTTATCCATAATTTGTTACTATCCACACTGTTGAATGCTTTTGCATAGTCAATAAAACACAAGTAAATATCTTTCTGATATTCTTTGCTTTCAGCCAAGATCCATCTGATATCAGCAATGATATCCTTCATTCCACTTCCTCTTCTGAATCCAGCTTGCATATCTGAAAGTTCCCTGTCAAAATACTGCTGCAATCGTTTTTGAATTATCTTCAGCAAAATTTTACTTGCATGTGATATTAATGATATTGTTGGATAATTTCCACATTCTGTTGGATCACCCTTCTTTGAAATGGGTACAAATATGGATCTCTTATACTCTGTACACCAGGTAGCTGTCTTCTAAATTTCTTGGCATAGATGAGTAACTGCCTCCAGCATAACATTCATTTGTTGAAACATCTCAGTGGATATTCTGTCAATTCCTGGAGCCTTGTTTTTTTGCCAATTCCTTCAGTGCAGCTTCAACTTCTTCCTTCAATACAATTGGTTCTTGATCATATGTCACCTCCTGAAATAGATGAACATCAACCAATTCTTTCTGGTACCATTACTACGTGTGTTCCTTGCATGCTCTTTTGATGTTTTCTGCATCATTCAATATTTTGCCTATGGAATCTTTCAGTGTTGCAACTCAAAGCTTGAATTTTTTCTTTTGTTCTTTCAGCTTGAGTAATGCTTAGAGTGCTTTTCCCTTTTGGTTTTCTAACTCCAGGTCATTGCATATTTCATTGTAATAATTGACTTTGTCTTCTCAAGCTGCTCTTGGAAATCTTCTGTTCAGCTCTTTCATCTTGTCATTTCTTCCACTTGCTTTAGCTACTCTCCATTCAAGAGCAAGTTTCATGCATTGTCAGTGAAGGCAAACATTAATATATGGGTGGATAGAACTGAACTATTAGGTATGTCTATGCAGGGGGCAGTATGCCCAAAACCATGTGTAGGGTTGACAGACAATGTTTCTACAAGTGTATTTGTATGTTCTATAAGAATTCCCAGGTATATAGTAAGTTGACAAGGGACAAAGTTGTAGTCACTTCTTGGCCACAGCCAGCTACCCAGAGAGAGCAAGTAGTTGGACCTGTGGGCTCAGGACAACGGTCCCAGGGGACATCAAGCTCAACTGGAATAACATAGTACATAAAAACATTGTTCCACATCCTACTTTGGCGAGTAGTGACTGGGATCTTAAAAGGTTGCAAGCAGCCATCTAGGTGCAATGATGGGTCTCTCCTCATCCAGAGCAAAGAAGAATGAAGAAAACCAAAGATGCATAGAGAGAGGCGGGGCAAGATGGCGGACTAGGCAGAAGGATTGCACAGACCCTCTTCAACAAAGAAAAGGGAAACCAATTAACACAGACACAGAAG